ACACCACCATACCTGATTTTCTGGCTGTGTTCTATTGAACCTGTTTAAGTCCGTTTCAGAGGGACTGAGGCTCATTCATTATTTTTAGGGTTATCAGTCTTTGCATTAATTTAAGGCTAGTTCTAGCTATAGATCTTCAGCAAATTGTGTCATCTTCCCTGGAAATGGAAAGCCCTTTAAAATTATTCATTCTGTGGGAGAAGGCACTGCTTCCCTTACGGCTCAATTTTATTAATTGTTTAGGTTATCAGGCATATAACAGTTTAGCACAGATGAAACAAGTAGAAATCAGGGTTTCAGTTATAAAATAATTTCAGATTAAAAAGTACTCTGTAAATGATATTTTCTTGTTTTAATTCATATATTTCTATCAAATCCTATTTGGCTGGGCCTGGTTTTATTTTTAAAACAAAGTGAAAATTTCAAATTTTCTCATTACTAAAAAGCACTGATAATTAATTTTAACATGTTTGAGAATTTTTGTTTTCTTAGAGTTTTTATGGACAGGAAAGGATTACTTCAGGAAATTGTGGTTAAGCTATTTCCTTTAATTAAATTGAATTCATTCAGGGCCAGCCTGATAGCTTGGCAGACTAAAGCTCCTGCTTAGGCAGAGTGCATGGGCCAGGGTTCCATCCCTGGCATGCAGTGCCAGCCACACCCACGGGGCGCACTGAGATGGTGACTGAGACTCGATGTGGTGGTGCACACCTGTAATCCCAGCTCTTGGGAGGCTGAAAACAGGAGAATCACTAGGAATCTGATCTGTGTAGTGAAACCCTGCAGACCCTGTAGACCCTGTCCTAAATACTAAATAAACAAACAAACAAACAAATAAATAAATAAGTAGAATTCATTCATTTCTTCATTCATCCACTGACATTTCATCTGATATCACATTCTCTGAGAAACAAATCGGTACTAATCCAGGGCTAATTTTGAATCTATTTAATAATGCTTGAATTTCAACTTCTAATACAAAATCTCCTGACATCACAGAAAGGACTTTATTATTAAAAATTCAAAAAATGCATTCATTCATTCAGTGTATACTAAGTGGCTATGTGGTAGTATTGAATGAATTGGTTTAAGGAAAGGAAACTGAGTGAATGAAAACCTCATCCTTATAAATCTCCACTGAGTTGTTTCCTTTCTACAGAAGGCTCAAGTAGCTAGGCCAGCCGGTTCTCAACAATAATCTAGTCTAAATTTGTCTATGCCGTTTTATCTGTCTTCATTAATTTACGACCTTACATGTTAAATTTTCCATTTTTCATCCATTTTCTTTCTTCAAACTTCAAATTTATAGTTGCCCTTACCTTACTTATTTCTTACTTTTTTCCTATGACATAATGAATATTTCTATCTTGACTAACACTTTACTACTGCACAGAGAATATTCCATTTTTAACTGCTGCTGCTTGCATACATTTATAAACCTGTCTGCTGGCTAATATTTCCAGATGAATTTTCTCACAGGGAGTTTTGTTTTGGGTAAATATGGTATAGTCACCTAGCACTAATTTTTGCGTATGTATGAACATTTGAGTTTAAAATGAGGAAATTCTTAATGAGCTTCACCAAATGTCATTTAATGAAGTCACAATTTCCTTTCCTCTCAGGAAAAAATATCTTCAATTACAGGATATTTAATGACACAGCATAAGATTCAATGGTACCACAAATGTCCATTTTATGACTTTTGCATGTGTCTCACAAACTTTTGCATGTGTCTCACAAGCAAAGACTTTGGTCTCCCTGGGGCCAATGGAGCCATGATGTTACTGTCCCATCTGCAGTATGTGTGCCAACTGGCTCCCTGTGACACTATGTCTGCCTGCTCTGCTCAACACTGATTTCCTTGTCTTCTGGGGTAGAGCAATTACCAGTGTAAGTCAGGAACTGGATCTTGTTTAAGCCATTAGAAAAATATGTGTTGAAGGAAGAGAAATATGAGGATGGCTGTAGCCACGTTCCCAGTTCCCTTCATGTATGCTCAGCATCTGAATGCTTAGATGTTAGAGAGCTGAAATTTACAAGCAGTCAAGGAATGATGAGCAAAAAGCCCAAGAGGTTTGGGTTAATGTCTGTTGCTTAATCTAATGCTTTATTACATTTTTATTTAGTAGAATTAGAACTACAGAGGGACTTGGAAAAACTGAGGGTAATGCATTTTTTAAATTTTGAAGCACTTCATTCAACAACACCAAAAAGCTAATTCTATTGCTGTACTATTTTTTTTTATTTGGGAGCTTGTTTTTTCTTTTTTTCTTTGTGGTAACAGGGATTGAACTCAGGACCTTGAGCTTGCCAGGCAAGCTCTTATTCTACTAAGCTATCTTCCCAGCCCATTTTTTTTTGGTGGGGGAGCCTGCAATGACTGTATTAGCATACTTTCATATCTCTCTCTCTCTCTCTCTCTCTCTCTCTCTCTCTCTCTCTCTCTCTC